CAAGGTTAATTCATAAGCATCTCACATGCGTTTTAAGATGATGTCTACTTGCATTGACCATGTTTTATGACTATGTTTACTAGCTCTTTCATATTATGTTCTAACTTGGTTATTGCGTAGTACAAAAATGTCCCTTTATCATGATTTTTACGCTTCATGCATGGCTATCTTACTTGGTACATATTTGTGCTAATTGCTCTTGCCAACATTTTCCCCAAATGTAGGGACCGAACTTACAGATTCGCACTTCTGTGACTAGGGATCTCATAAAGAAGCTTGAAGATTGGTGAGTCTTCATGTTTCGAGGACCGAGCTTGGTTTCCCTTTTTGTCTTTACTTTCAGTTTTGAAACTTGATGTACCGGCTACGCCATGATCATTCTTATGTACTAGATGGCTTTGAGACAATGTTTAGATTTTCGATTTTCTCTATAAAAGTTTTATATGTTGAAACTCTCTTTTAAATCTCTTATATTCTATATTATCTTGTATGACGAATGCTAAGTGGATTGTATGGGGCCTCTCGGGGTCTTATACGCCATGTTACGTCTAGGAGCTACCTTGGATCGTGACATTCACCCTATTTCAAGCCTAAAATACCCTTGAGATCTTGCATGAACTAGGTTATGTGATGATTGGAAAATATAGGCAAACCTATAGGACAAAGCTTGCATGTGTTTCTCCTTTGAAGAGAATGAGAGTTGCATTGATTCCTTATATCTTTGTTGATTTGCTTTATGAGCGCATGGAATCGTTCTGGATGTGAGTGCAATGTATTTATTGAAACAATTTCATGCATTAGATAAGAGGCTAAAGTGAGCTTGAGCTTGTGTTGAGAATGGCTAGTCATCATTTGAAGCTTTTTTTTTTAATCATGATTGGGTGTAGCATGTTGTTGAGAGTAGTCTTGCTATGACACTTACATGTTATCTCTTATTGAGTGTTGTTGTAGACACCCTTATTGAGCTAATTTTGTTCTTGATTTACTTGAGGACAAGCAAAAATTTAATTTGAGGGTATGGATAAGTGGTAGATTTGCAATATAGGTATATTTAGCTTAATAATTAGTGTTCTCAATGCCTAATTTTGTTCTATTCTAATAAAATATTGATGATTTATAACTATGAAGGCAAACAGACAAGGCAAAGATTGCTGTTTGAAAGAATAGCCAAAAATACAAAAAGAAGTGCAAACTATACATTGTTGATCACCTAACAAGAAAGGTGGATTGCCTAATGAGCACGACCTCGTCCAAAATGATAATGCATAGCACTTGTGTCTATCGAATCATGATCGGCGAACACCGTTAGATAAGGCGATGCGCTGAATGAGAAAGTCGGTCTTGCTAAACATCACCAACAATGACAGTGTAAGAAGAAAAGATTGAATGCTCGAAAGGCGAACCAAAGTGGTACTTGGAAATTCGCCGAATGTGAAAGGCTGACTCAAACGAGTTCACAAACTAAGGTTCAAACACATGAAGCCTAGAACATGAAAAGGCGAGCTGAAGAGCAAGAGGCGATTCATCGAACGAGCTCGGCAAGCCCGACTTATATCGCCGAATGAGACGTGCATTGAGTTTTTGAGCCAAATTTTGAGAAAGTATAAACAGCCCAAAGGAGAGAGAAATTAAAGAGTCGAAGAAGAGAGGTCATGAAATATTAGTTCTGAAATTGAGTTTGAGAGAGAAATTTTAACCCTTGTGAAGAACAATTTCTAGCTTTTCGGGGTTTTTTTTATTTTGCTCTTGAATTTGATAAATTGAAGTTGAATCCAAAATGGGTTTAGTTGTAATCTTTCATGGAAAGTATATTTTCATTGCTTTTTGTGATGGGTGGCTAAAACCCCAAGATCTAGGGGTGCAAATATGGGGTTGTGCAATTATGGGTTATGTGTTGATTTAATGTAGTACGTATTGTGTTATGCTCTGTTTTGCTGCTGTTCGTACATGAATTTGGGCTAATTAGCATGGGGTTATTTTATGGGTTAAAATTGCAAACTTAATTCCTACTTCAGATCTCTGGTCGATGCTCGAAAGAGATTGATTGGAGTGGGTAATTAGTCTGGTACTAGAAATTTAGGTTTGATGCATGTAACTTGCTTGAAAATAAAGGTTGTGGGTCCAATCTATTTTCCCTATTTCTGCATCGAAAGAGAAAATAGAGTAAGGTATTGAGCAGTTTAGTTTGGCATCTAGATGAGACCGAAAAGAGATTTTATGCATAGATGCTTTGAGGTTGAAAGATGATTAGCGTCATTGAGGATGACCTAGCCTATTCATGAATGCTCGTCGCTATAGAGCTGCACAATACCCCTACGTGACATTGATTTGCAATCTCTGCAACCTTAGATTGCTTGTTTACTCTTGAATTCTTTGAAAATTTAGTTTAATTGCGATAATTGATAACCAAAGCTTTTTATTAAATTAGTAGAGTCATCCACCCACTTGTTCTTACTATTACAAATGATAAATTTTACAATCCAAATTTCTTGAAAGGAATGTTCTATGATATACCATTCTAAGTGGGATTCGACCCCGACTCTTCGTTGGATTTTTATTGACTACGAGCGCTATCTCTTTTAATTGGTTTTAAGGAGGACACTTGAGCGTTATCACATTGCTTCACATGATGTCCAGCTTTTTCGCACAGTTGACAAGTGACCCTGGCTCGATTATTTCGGCCACCAAAATAACCTCCTTGATAACCTCCATTTTTATTCCAATTGAAAGAAAGGAAATTTCTTTGATTGGAGCATGAGTTAGCGGTATTTCGATTGGAATTCCGATTGGTGTATGCGGGAGGTTTAGCAGCAAAGTTCGCCATGGTTGGCGCCACATTTTGGATGATCGACGAGTCAAATGAGCTTCAAAGTCAATCAAATTGTCATGAAGCTCTGGAAAGGTCTGTTTTAGGAGCACAAAGTGCAGAGGCAACTCTATCATACTCGGAAGGAAGGCCATGTACGACATGAATAAAAATTTCATCAGCGGAGATGTGAACACCAACTGAAGCAAGCTTGGTGCAAATCTCTTTGATTTTCTGCAATTACATAGTAATAGAGAGATTTCTCTTTTGAATAGTATTGAAGTCTTCTCTCAAACTCATTATGTGAGAACACGACGACTTCACATAAGTCGTGGCAAGGTTTTGCCAAAACACATAGGAAGTTTTGTCATCAATAACAAATGGTATAATTTCTGGTGAAAGGGATGCAACCATGCGCTTCTAATGAGATGATGTTGTCATTTATAGACCGAGATAACTATGGTGGGTGGTGGGTGGTGGATGGTGGTTCATTTCTAAACTGAAGAAAATCATAGGCTCGCATAAGTCGTGGCATGGTTTTGCCAAAGCACATAGAAAGTTTTGTCATCAGTAACAAAGGACATAATTTCCATTGAAATGGATGCAACCATGACACTTCTAATGAGATGGTCTTGTCGTTTGTAGAGCGAGATAACTGTGGTGGATGGTGGCTGATTTATAAATTGAAGAGAAACATAGTCAGTAAGCAGTGTTTCTTATTGATATTGCCAAGATTGGTAGTTGGTGGTGGTGAGTTTCAATGGGGCTTTGAGAAGCGGTGTTAATGGAGATAAGTTGATCATTATTGTTCAAGGAGATGATGTTGTTAGAGGGTGCAACAATATTTGGAGTAGTTTTGTTTGTTGGGTTTGGGAGGGAATTAGAGGTGCCCTTCGAATAAGTCATGACTGTTGAAAAAAAAACTACTGCCCAGAAAACGTTTTGGCTGTGAAGCGGAATAGCCACGATACCATATAGTAGTTTAATGAAGCGATAATAGATGATTTATTAATACTGAATGGTGTATTTATACAAGAGGGTGGATTCATAAGGACCAGGAGGGAAATTAATACAATCAATCAATATAAGTGAGGATCTTTACTGTTATGAATAAGTTAAAACTATGGAAACTAAATCTGTAAATAAGGAATGCAATAATATACCATTGATCTAAGATATATCTCTAATGGTCTTGTCATATATTTTGAAGTTAAATTTGAAATTTAAGTTTCTTAAATTAGATTTTAAAAATTTGAAGTTGCATTTGAATATGTAATAATTTTTTTAAAAAAGACTTATCAATAAAAATTCCAAAACCCCAAAAACTAATCTCAATTAATTATGAAAACCTTAAAATAATTGAAAATCGGATTTTAAAAATTTAATTAAATTCATGGTAAAATAGATAAATTTAATAATAAATATCAAAATTTAAAAATAAATTAAATTTATGGCCATATATATAAATTAAATAATCGATGGTCAAATACTAATTTAATTTGTTGATTCGGTGAATTTTGCGCGTTTTGTTAAGTAAAAAATAAAAGAAATTTTAAAAGTATTTTAGGGACCTTTTTTTTCCGGAAGTTGAGATATTTTAGATCCACTTTTTATTAAAGCGTGATATTTTTTTTGAGCAACTTTCACATATAACAAACATAAAAATTATATTTGTATGTTATAACTATAGTTTAAATAATTGCGCTCCATAGCAAATTTTATGTTTGCTATGGAGCTTTTGATTTGTATAATTCGCTACAAACATTCAGTTTTATACAAATTGTTCAATTTTGTATAAATTCATTTATACAGTGTAATTTGTATAATAAGATCTATATTTGTATAATTATAAGTGTATATGATGAAAATATATATATTTGTACCTGTATATACACTTTTCTCTCGCTTTATACAAACACAAACGCATTTTATACATTTTATACTGAATGTATAAAATGACTAATTGTATACCGAAAATGGCTAATTGTATATCGAATCAGATGACAAAAAAATGAGATATTTGCTGCGAGTTACAATTAAAATAAACTATGGCTATAACATTTAATTTGAATTAATAATTTATTATTTCATACAATTTTCCCATGGTTGTGAGCTGTGATGATATGGAAAATACATAAATACAACAAATCTATTTCCTACTAAAAAAAAATGAAGCAAGTCGACCCGGCCCTCTATTTAGGGTTTTAAATTATTTTCAACCTTCTCCTCAGAAATACATTTCACTGTCTGTCTGTCTCTTTTGTGCACATTGCTGATAGTAGTTTCTCTTCAAAAGGTAGTTTCTCTACTTCCCTTTTTATCTGCAAAAACTAACCCCTTTTGCTGAAATCATACTCTCTTTTTTCCCCATCTCTTTATCTTCTTCTAGTAGGTTCAAAGATGTCGGCGGTGGTTCAACTTCGCTGCTCTTCACTTCCAGCCCACTATCACTATCAAAGTCGTTACTTTTCTGCTGTCAAACCCACATTTTCAGACAATAGTTGCGTCAAAAATCTCAACTTTAACCCATTAAGAACCAGCCATGTGGGTTCTAAAAAATTGCTTATCAAGTATCAAGTTCCTTGTGCTGGGGGTGGGGGTGATGATGGAGGAAGCATTGGCATTGGTGGTGGTGGTGATGGGGATTCGAGTGATGGGGGACATTCAGATGATTCCTGGGACAGTTTTGGACCAATTGGTGCTTTTCTTAATGGCTGGAGATCTAGGGTTGCTGCGGATCCACAATTCCCTTTTAAGGTTCTTATGGAGGAATTGGTTGGTGTCACTTCTGCTGTCATAGGAGACATGGCATCTCGTCCTAACTTTGGCCTTAATGAATTGGATTTTGTGTTTTCCACACTTGTCGTTGGTTCCATTTTGAATTTTGTGTTGATGTATATATTGGCTCCAACAGCATCTGTTTCTAGTCGAACGCTGCCTTCAATTTTTGCCAGTTGCCCACCAAGCCACATGTTCGAGCCTGGTGCTTACAGTTTATTCAGTAGGGTTGGGACATTGGTCTACAAAGGAACTCTCTTTGCTGCAGTTGGATTTGCTGCTGGACTTGTTGGAACTGCAATTTCTAATGGTTTAATCAAGATAAGGAAAAAGATGGATCCTAATTTTGAGACGCCAAATAAGCCTCCTCCAACACTTCTAAATGCTGCAACATGGGCAACTCATATGGGTGTCAGCAGTAACTTAAGATACCAAACTCTTAATGGAATTGAGTTCTTGCTAGACAAAGCTCTTCCTCCAGTGGTTTTTAAAACGTTCGTTGTGGTTTTGAGATGCTTGAATAATGTCCTTGGGGGAATGTCATTTGTCATGTTGGCAAGGCTGACTGGTTCTCAGAGTGTAGATAAAGGGGAGGTAGTTACTGCAAAGGATGATGGAGTAAATGTAGAGAAAGAGAGGTTGCTGAATCAGAGCGACAGCATACAAACTGGTCATTCTGTTTCAAAGTGAATTGGCTTTGTGTGTATCAATATCTAGTTACAATCCCCCGATTCAGCTTAGTCAGTTTTTGCCCCTTACTATGAATTATGATCATAAATAATAGTAGTATTTAGCTTCTCTGACTTCATGTCCTTTAGGAGTTTTGAGTTTGTGTGTCCTGTCTAGCTTTCGTTTTCAGTGATGATAGAACCAGTTATTTGTTGGTGTTGATTATGATTTATGTCCGTTTGTATGGTAAACATGACATTCATGCTTGCAACTGACATTATGCCCAAATCATGTTAAAGGAAGTAGCACCGTTTTCCGGTCCTGCAGCATAGATAATTTCTTTTATTCAGTCTTGCGTTACTGCTGATTTAGCTATAGTCTTGATGGTTTATGGGTTCTTTCTTTTTATGGAAAATACATATTTTAAACTTGTCTCAAAAAATCACTTAGACACTGAAATTTTATGAGTGTAGTACTAAATATAGTATCGCCTAGAGTTAGTTGTGGCAGAGAAGGTGTTCTCACCTGCTAGTAGATGCTCACGAAAAGCAAAAGATGAAGAATTTGGAAGCAGTTCATTGCCTGTGGGAGCTTGCTGGTAGTGAGAAAGTCATAGTAGACAAAAAAACGTAGATTCCAAATAAAAAAAGGTATAACAATCTGTAGTAGCTTCCACCTGTTTCATTACCAATCAGCACAGCAGTTATAGACTATTCAAATTGTAGACTCATTTCTTGGTAGTTCACTGTATCCTGTGGAGTCATCCGTGAGCTGTATCATTGGAGTTCTAACACATTTTCATGATTGATAATTTCAAGGAGGAGAAACTAAGGGAAAACCAGGATAACTTTGTAGGGGAGTTGCTTGCTTAAGCCCGTGGTATGTATGTCTGATTTGTTTCCCTCTCTGTGGTTTTGCATAACTTTGTAGCATATTTGATAGCACCCAAAAATGAAATAAGTTAACAGTTGATTGTAGAGATGCTATAATTTTGGTTACATAATCTTTTTTGGAAAAAGGTCAACTCTCCCAGGACAACTAACTTGACCTTTAACATATTTGCATATTGAGATAGAATTTATTTACTTTCCTTTTTCCTTGACGAGAAGAAATTCTCCTATTAGGTGCACTTCTTTATTGTAGCAAATGATGAGTATTTAATTTTTTGCAATGCTTTTATCTACTGGATGAATCAGAGGACTACATAAAGAGACAGTAGTTGCGTAAACTTGCAATACTAAATTCAAAATTCAGGGAAGAGAATCCTTGACCAAGTGGCAGTGTCTCTCCTTTCAATACTAGTGGCATGAAAACGTCCCAAGACTAGCTGTTGAGAGCGATGAGGAATTGAAGTTGTTGATGCTAAAAGAGGTTTGTACTCCTCGGGGATGATGCGTGGACATTCCTGATCTCAACATACATCATATCCGCTTCACTACCTCAACCCAAGCTATAAATAGACACACAGGTCATTGTGGGTGATTTTTGGTTTGCTTGTGGGTTATAGTTATTTTTTTTCAATCAACAACAGAAATGAGAAGATAGTTAAAAGGAAAATTATTATTAAACAGACACCAAATATTGGTGCTTTGACTGGAGTTGGATTTGTGTATTCACCTATTAGTGCAACGTGTAATATTTTAATTTCTTTTTTGGAAGCTTGTATTTGTTCATCTGTTTGTTTCTTGTGCTAAGAAATGAGAATGGCCCAATTAATGGACGTGCAAGTCTGATGGGCAGCCTAATTGTATGTTCCATTTTTTTTCTTTTTTTTTTTCTTCAAAATATTTGCATTTTTTTCCTGGGCGTTTCAGATAAATTATTGTTTTCCTTTGCCGTTTCTTTTTCAACTTCAACTAAATTACATGTAAATGTACTATGGTTGAATCTGCCTATATTTGGTACTATATTTAGGATTTTGATGTGGTAAAATCTTGATTTATTTAATTAGTTATCAGGGATTTCCAACTATACGAGTTCTCTACAAATAAAAATAGGTTTGTTATTCAATAATATGACATGACTTATATACTTGTGTCAACTAAGGTGTATGTAGATCTATTCAAAATTTTAATGAAGTTGACGGAGTCAATTAGACTTTTTTCAGAGAAATATAATTTCGTTATGATAGTGGGTTGCATGGGATTCGAAAACGGAACTAATTGGATGAGTAGACAAGTTCTTTATTAAATAAAATAAATTTTAATCTTACATTAAATAAACAAGTCACGTTGTACGTGACTTTCCCTATCTATATTATCTGTTTCTTTCTCATAGAAATTAGAAAAACTTTAAAAAGGTGAATACTCAGTTGATTTACCACTTATTAATATTACAATTAATGAGAAGAGGTAAATTTTTTTATCTCTTTGTTATTTATAAAATGTAAGAATGAATCTTTGACACAAAAAATATTCAAATATCAAATTTGACTTGTATATACTTCTCACAAAATAGACAAAAACTTGTGGGAAGATCAAAACAAGAACTTATCCTTTCGAGACGGAATAATCTGTGAGACTCTTATACTTGGCTCCATTTGTATGTTGGATCCTTGTATTTACGACTTTGCAAACTGAACCTTAAACTTATTGAAACACAATATTTTAAACCCCTTTCTCTTCTGATGTGTGTGCGTTGATGTGAGGCTAAAAATACATATTTTTAATCATTATTTCCTCACATTTATTATTTATATTTGTCCTTTTTGAGCATGAATTTTATGGATTGTACTAAATTGTGTATTTTATTTGTAGGATTAAATTGGGGGGAAAAATGAAAAAGTTTGAAGCTAAAACGAATTAAAGATGAAAGGGTGAAGAAGGAAATCAAACAGACAACTTAATGGAAATAAGTTAATATAATATTAATATAATTTATTTGCAAATAAGGAAAGAAGAACTTACCTGCTAGTCCAAGTGTCAGGCAACAACGTCAAAAGAAGTTGCACGCACAAAATTGGAAGCTACACGCTGAGAAAAAGGAATCCAATTCCTTTTGGTTTTGGATTCCTAATTTAATTTGGACTCAATTATTTTATTTAGGGTTTCCTACATCTATAAATAGTGCATAGAAATAATTATTTGGGGGAGGAGGCCAAGAACCAAGATACAAAACAAAATATAAACTTTCTTCTAGCTTAGGAACTTTGGAAGAGCCGCCGTGAAGGCCGGAGAATTGAGGTTTATTCTTTCTTCTTGTCGCGCCCCATTTTTCGCAAAACGGGTTTTGGTGCACGACCTAACAACTCTTTTGGGTTTTGGAGGATTGAAGAGTCGTCACCTAACGAATTAAAGCGCGTTAGGGCACCTATCTAACCTAACTAAGTCTAGCTAAGGTCAACGAACCAGAGATCAGGGTAAGGGTTCAAATTACCTCGAGGGAAAGGTGTTAGGCATCCCTCGAGGTCCACAAAGGCGGGTCCCGATCGTATCTCATGCAATTTATGTGGAGGTTACAAGTAACAATTATGGTCACTTCATTTATTATTTTGTTTAATTAGCATGATGACTAGGTGATAACTATGATTAGACAATCAAAATTAATTTATTTATTTGTTATTTAATTAAACATGCAAAACTATGTGATGACATAAGACTAAATAATTTGCACAAATAAGATTTTAAAAGAAGTAGCGAGAAGATAGAAAGTAGACAAGTATATAAGCAAATATCATTTTTTTAAAGAAAAGAAGGTAATCAATAAGAAAAGAATTATCAACATAGATTTAGTGTGATACTATCTAATAGGCTAGTGTCGATTGGTGCGAAGTAATAACTAAGCCAAACATAGATTATGATGTCTAATATGAGGTAAAGGTAAGGGTTAGTAAATTATACACACGTAGCCGGACCAAGGTGCGGGGTGAAATTCTCTAGATGCCGGACCAAGGATTTAGAGATACCTAACTTATCACTTTGTATGTAATACACTAGAAAAGGATTACTATTATTAGGATTACTGCGTTATGAGCTTATGGGGAACACATTCCTAGTTACTTTTAATAATCTGAATATAAATAAATACTTAGTTCAAAATTATCTTTTTATTGTTTTTATTTTATTTCAATTTAAATCCCCCCATTTTTATATAACGACTATCGAGTTAAAATATTTTGCTATTGTACAATATTCTTCCATATTCTCTGTGGGATCGACCCCGACTCATAGTTGGGTAAATATATTGCATACGATCGTTTATATTTCTTTTCAAGAAGTATATTTGAACGTTATCATGTGTGTACTACACTCATTTTGTACACATGAAATTCCACGTCATTTTTAATAACACATCATTATTATTGTTATTTTTTCAAGGGAAAAGGGATAAATATACCCCCGAACTATCGTAAATGGTACACAAATACCCTCCGTCATACTTTCCGTTCACTAATGCCCCTGCCGTCCAAAAAGCAGTGCACATTTATCCCTCACTATAACGGAAGACTTATTTGGTACACGTGGCGCGATCCTACGGCTCAACCCGATTTGACCAAATAATTAACCCAAAATTCAAATATCCACCCATTACCCATTTAACCCACCCGACCCATTACCTACACAAATAACCTATCTAATAATCTAAAGAAAAATTCCATTCTCTCAAAATCTAGCGAGATTACTAAATCTACATGAATTTGCAAACTCAAACTTAATTCTCCAATAGTCTGCCTAACTTTGTCCAAAATGGGGGAAACATAGTAGTCAGAAAAAAAATCAACACTTGAACTGACAAAAACAGATCCTCATTGCAATTTATCAAGAAAACTATCACGCAATTCCAATATTATTCGAATCAACACATTTACAAGCTTAAATAACTCGAACCCAATTCAAAGTTACAATCTTATTACACCCCAATTAGACAGAAAATCACTATTAAGCCACAACTAACTAGCAAACTCAAAAAGGGGAAATTCAAAGAAACTATTGCAATTTCAGAAAAAGCGAAACACTAATCTGTAATTGCATTTCCTAAGAAGAGCATCAACAATCTGTCTTGTAGAATCATCTGTTTCGACCAACAAAACTCTAAAAACCATTTCAGTAAAAAATCTTTCCCATTTCAAAATTGAAGAAGATGTTGCAGCAACAGATCCAGCCCCTATTTCCTTATTCTTGTTCATATTTCCACCAGCCTCTGTTTCAATAACCATATCTTCCCTTCCTATAACCTCCAAATCACCTTCACTACTCACAACAACCTCACCCATTTCTTCAATTCGTACTTATGTTTCACCAAAAAAAAAATCCTTGTATTTTATCCAAGTGGAGGAGAAACAAAAAGAAACAGTAAGAAAGAACTATCTTTGGTGAAGATTCAAAAAGTCGTCTAATAAAATGCAAGATT